ATGGTGGAGTGGAACACCAGCCGTGTCTTAGCATTAGTGGGTGCTTCTAAAGACCATAAAACTAAAGTGGAGGTTGACATCTTGAAGGAAATGGAAGACGCCAAGAAACGGGATCCAGAGAACTTGTACCTTGCTGCTCTTTACCTGGAGGCCTGTGCTAAAAAAGGAAGAATTGATAAAGAAGAAGCACGTAAGTTAGGCAGAGAGGTCTTAACAAGGCCCGTCAGCAGCTACAACGGTAACACACCGATACTGAGGCTGTACAGAATGTATGGATTGGAGGATGAGGCTATTGAATTGGCAGAGGAGGCTCTGAGAAGACATCCAGGTGAACGTTTTCTGAAGTGGTCCGCTGCAAACTGCTACAAATGGGTCCTTGAAAACAGGAAGGATCATGCACTGCAGGACATGATAAAGAGAGGGATCAGTCTTTGTGAGGAAGTGATTTCTCTTTACAGTCACCATTCACTCAAAATAAAGATCGCTCTGGCAAACATGTATAGACTGTTAAATAACCAAGATGAAGCTGAGGAGATATTTGTTGAACTGCTAAAAATAACTGATCTCGAACCTGCAGAAGAAAAGCTGCTTTACATCAACTACCGAAAATCTTTCAAATGTGAGCAACAGAATCGCTGCGAGCTGATACAACCGAACACGGCGGCGACGGAGATACCACAACAATCCTCCATTTGTTCGTTCACAGGACCAGCGTCAGAGTCCTGGAGAAGATTAAACTCAGAGCTAGAAACTGAACATGTAGAGAAATAGAGAAGAAAACCTGCAAGAACCTTTTAACAGCACTTCTAAGTCAAAAGAATCTCTGCATGTAAACACACAGCAGCTTCAGACGAAGGTTGTGTCAATCCCATAATCTTATATTATATCAGATGTTCTTTTCTTGTTTGTTTTTCATTATTACTGTATTTTAGAACATAATACACTCAATAAGACCTTTGTTTTGCTGTAAAGAGCAGTGAATAATTAAACTCTTGATTGGTAATGTAGTTAATTTGATGTATAACCTGAATATTATCACAACATGCAACTGAATGTATTCATAGAATCAATGCTAATACTATTAAATATGCATTACAGACGAGGAAGTCCGTAGTGTTTTTGTTTTGGTGGTTATTATAAAAGAAATCCACGTGGCTGCGAGGTTTTTAATCACTTATATTGTTTTCCATAAAGTGCACCTAACATGTCTGATATTTATTGGAAATAAGTGTTTAATTTGGTCGTAATTAGCAATTTATTTAAAAGAACATCCTAATTTAAACCCAATCTGTTCACTGTATTACTGAAAATGTGTACAAAATAAAATCCCAGGAGCATCAGTGATGAGTTGTGGATCCTCGTCTTCCAAAAAACACACACACACAAAATAACAAATCAGGGTCTTTATTTAGAGTTTATAGCATGAAAGTCTTTCACACACACAAACACATTTTTCTACATTTGCACATATTCAGTAGGGATCAATAACAGCCACAATCAACTGGAAACTGGGAGCGTTTGAACCAGTGAGTGATTATATACTGTACATACACACTGCTGAGACCTGAGGGCGCACAGACAGGTCCGTGGTCCCACGTGTAAAACAGAAACTTGCAAAATAAAATGCCACAAATTCAAATGTTAAACGAGATTTGGATCTCTGACGTTTTAGAGGTTTAAAAAAAAAAGGAGAAAATACAAAAATGAAAATCACTCGTTTCCTCTTCGACTCTTCTTGTGACTCTTTTTTGAACTCCTGTGATTGTGACAGAAACAGAATGAAGACATGATATTTAAAAGAGATTTATTTCTGTCGTGTTTGAATGTTTTAGTGACGTTGACGAGCAGAATCACTCACCTCTCCGGAGACTTTGAGTGGCTGCGATGTCTGTGGCTTCTGTGGTGACCTGGTTCAAATAAGAATAATTCAGAGTAAAAACCAAACTACTGGCATCAGATCATCACATACTTCATCCCCTTCCTGTCCAATGAAAACCCTTTATCTGCAGATGTGTTGATTGTGAATGTTTGTGATCTGCAGGATATAGTTTTCCTTTATGGGTCGAGGAAACTTCTAATTAAGAGTCAGACGTTTTAATTGTAATTGAGGGCTGAAATAGTTCCTGTCATTGCTTCAGGCTCCTTATTTAATCTTCTGAATTATGTGTTAAGTGCAGTTTTTCAGCGATGATCCAACACGAAATAAGCAGAATGTTTGTTTGCTTATGTGATGAACAATATTCATTTAAATAAAGATTAATAATAAGCAAACACAATCCATTAAAACGACCTAAAAGTACCGTAAGTAGGCTTCACGAATCAAGAACCTTTGAATTTGATTTCATTACCAACAGTTTAAAACGAGGTGGAAAAATAACATAAAACGTTTCAATGTGAAGCTCAATGACACATAAAACGTTGTAGTTTATTTATTGTTAAACGAAGCAGTTCTTCCCTGTTTGTCCTCTGTTGTAGTTCCACTGCTGACCACAGAGCTGTGCCGACCTACCTGCATTACACTGGTTTTATGTGAATAAACAGGAGTTGGTTATATCTCCAAACTATAAAACATAAACCGTATAACTCTCGCTCAGCCTCAAACAACCACCGGCGTGTTTCCGTGTCTTTACCTGGGGATTTGGAGCGGTGGCGTCTGTCTCTGGAGCGGCTGCGGTGGCGGCGGGGGCTCTTGCTGCGATGGCGGTCTCTCCGGGGCGACGGGCTGAGAACGTACGGCAAAATAAAAGACGTCAATGAGCGTGAGACAGAAATACCACGTTTAAAAAGGTGATTAGAGCCGGAAGCAAACGTACCTTCGCCTCTTTGGAGATCTGCTCCTCCTTTAGAGAAACACAAAGGATCCAATTCATTATTTTACAACTCACTTCATAAAAGTACATTTATCTTCACATCACAGGAACACTGACTCTTGAACAGATAACTCCAACACAAACCGTCTGGGTGAGCGGCTGCGTCTGTAACGGGGTGACGGAGAGCGCCGAGGTCTGTCGTTGTCACGGTAACTGCGTCTGTGGGGTTCGGGGGTCTGGAGTCTCTCCGGCTGCAAAACAAACAACAACAACAAACAAAACACTTTTAAAAACAAGTGCAGAAAGGGGAAAAGGATTTGAGGAGTGGAAGTCGTGTGGCGGATCCCGTGGGCTTGTCTGGATCATAGTTAACCAGTTGTAATATTAAAATACAGAATAAAATCACTCTCATGGTTATCCATTAAATGCTGTTACCTTCTCTTCTTCCTCATCTTCTTCTTCACTGCTCTCCACCTCATCCAGGTCTTCCTCCAGAGCGCTGATACGGGGGTCCAACATCTCCGCCTCCTCGAGGACGTGTCTCTTCTGTAACACACACACACACACGGTTTAAAGTAACACACAGGATTTGGCCGTCTACAGTTTCCAGGATATTTAGTCACTTTCCAGTTTCCAGGTGTTTCCGTCACTAAAAGAATTCGTCTCTAAAGCTCCAGTGTTTCCAGTACACCTGTGGGAAACCCCATCGAACTGTGTGTGAGTTGTGAACGTACCTGAAGGCGGGGCAGAATGATGTCACACATCCTCTCTGCGTGGAGGAGCTCGTCGATGAACTCGTCCACGTGCATCAACTCAAACTCTAAAACCAAAGAGGAGAATAAAACCCTTCACACACACGTCATCAGAGTTCAGACATTTACATATAAGACTGAAACTGATCACAGACGCTGGAAGCTGAATAACTGAGAAGAATGAAATCCAAAAGTGAACTGGAGAGTTCCATCTGCCAACAGATCCTCCTGAATGTTACACACTGGACTTGTAAAAGAGAGAAACTTGAATTCAGAAGGTGAACAGTTGTGTGTTTCTGCTTAATAAGGAAAATAAGAGGAAGAATATTTCCTTTCTTGACACTTTCTGACTTCATTTTGTTGAATTATTAGATTAAAACCAGCTGAGAGAGCTTGTGGAGCACACAACTGCACAACCAAATGTATTAAAACAAGGCTGTTCCTCTGAAGACTCCACATGAGAACACTTTCACTGTTTATGTTGCTTTCTTTCACAACTCGCCTCCGTTTCTGTTCTGACTCTTGATCTTTCTGTAGTCGTTGTACAGCGGCTCCAAGTATTTGTAGCAGTCCACTGCGGTTCCTGTTAACCTCATATACATCGCTCCGAGTAAACGGACGTATCTGGAGGGAGGGAGAGAGAGAGAGGGAATGGGAGAGAGGGGAAGAGAGGGAGGAGGACAGAGAGAGAGAGGGAGAGAGGGAAGAGAGAGAGAGAGAGGGAAGAGAGAGAGGGAGAGACCAGAGAGAGACAGAGAGAAGAGAGAAGAGAGAGAGAGAGAGAAGAGAAGAAAGAAGAGAGAGAGAGATAGGTTCAGTATGAGTAAATATAATTTCAGTTTCTATAATCTATGAATGAAGCTGCAGTGAAAGTCTGGGACAGAAAGACGTTTCTAAAACAACTCTGTTACAGTTTACGTCTGTGATTGTTTGTGATTGTTTGTTATTGTTATTGTTATTGTGATTGTTATTGTGATTGTGATTGTGATTGTGATTGTTCTTCCTCAGTCTCTCCCTGAATGAACGCACAGAAACTCACTTGAAGTCCTCGTTTTTGATGAACTCGACGATGATGTCTTTCTCAGGTTGGATCTGCAGCATCTTCAGCGTGAGGCAGAGGAAGGGAGTGGGCTTGATGTTCCCGCCGTAAACCCCCCCGACGTACTTCAGCTCCATGGCTTTATCGACCACCAGCTCGGCTGTGACCACACGGATTCATCGAAACAGAAAAAGGCACAACAACATAAACTTGTGTTCGACTTTCAGAATGTGTTAACTGAACTTGTTTTAGGTTAAAATCCTACAAACTGAAGCTGTTTAGAGTCTCTTATGTCTGAACGACTATAATGAATATCATCTTGTTTTTCTGTTCAGCTCGTTTGTATTTTATTTCTAATGTTTCATAAACCAGTTATTCCCAATATAAAATAATAACCTATAATATAATAATATATTGTATCAAATAAGAAAATTATGTTAGAAGAAGTTTGTTACCATAATAGTGAATTCCTCTTAATGAATAAAGTCTTTTCCCTTTATTATTTAACTGTTAGGCTCATTCCTCCTGACAGTGAGGAAGAGGAGAGTCACA